AGTGGGAGAGCCCATGAAGGGTCTATGGAGTTGGAGGACTTCAGATGATCCCTGATGTAGCCTACTCACCTTACTGGTTGGGAAAGCAGACCTCAGAAGCTTAAGTGGACCCCCTCAGCATTTCCTAGGGAGTGGTTAGCTTGGCACTCAAAGCTAGCCTACTCTCAGTCCCTCCCCATGACAGTATTGACTATACTCTTTCAGGTGACAGTAGGTTTTTAAGATTCTGTGGCTCTGATCAATGAACCCAGGGCCTCAAAGCCCAATCAGCAAGGGGTCTAAGAGTGAGCTATACCTCCAGCCCACAGAATGATTAATCTTGAAGTTAAACATTTGACAATAGTTTTTCTTAGGTGGACTTTGACTAGTTATTGATTATACTGGTAATGTCTAGTGTCACAAAATTAACAATAACGAGAAGGATCAAAGTGTTACTTGGTATACATAGTCTTCTTTGTACCAGCACCATATAACATGCCCCTTTTCATATCATTTGACATGCAATGAGTTCAATTATTTATTTAATTTTCATCCAAGTCTCTAGCTGGCCAGGCTGTGTTTTAGCTACAGAAATAGTGCCTTTATTCCTCAAGTGCCTAGTTCAATAACTATTGAATGAATGCATGAAATTTAGAAACAGTGGAAGAAATTGTGGTCTCTCTCAGGGTCTGGTCCAACGACAAGTAGATGCTAAGATGACTGGGCAAAGGCTGTGGTTAGCTTTCCTAACTGGTGAATAAAATACTTGCTGTGGCTGCTCAGGAATCATACTGGCTGACTCACACTCTGGGCTTTCTCATGAAACACTATTCTGAAGGCTTTTGTTGCATTTACTCACCTTGCCCTCGAAGCCCTGTGATGTACTGACCTCATGAACTTTTACCTACACATGGAACTTAACCAAATTGAGACATCAGGCTAATGGCATGGTACAGGCTGATAGTCCAAGCTCCTGGGGTGGGGTGGGGGACTGCGGGGCTGAAGCAGGAGGATGGCATGACCTGAGGAATTGGAGGTCAGCTGGGTAAAACAGTAAGGCATTTCAGAAACCGGAACAACAACCAAAACAAAACCCACATCACAAACAGATTGGATGATTTGACCTGGACTCAAACATTTAAGCAACCGGACCCAGATCACGTGCTTTCAACCCGATGGCTCTGTTTCAGTAGAGCAAGGATAGAGGCACAGAAGTAAGGCTACCCCTCCCCTCTTCGATCGCTAACAAAACTTGTATTTAAAATTTTAAATGCGAAAATGATGGTAAGATTGAAATTTCCCCATCTACACCTACACTTAAACTGTCTCTGTGTTTTCTTTAACCAACCTAATCCTAACTCTATTTTTGGTGTTTTCAGACAGGGCATCAGGTAGCCCAGGCTAGCCTAGACTACTATAACTGAAAATGGCCTTGAGCCCTCCCTTCTCCTCCACCTCCCAAGTGCCTCATAGGGATTGTTGGAGAATGCCACCACACTGGGCTCCTTCCTTTTTTTTTTTTTTTTGTTTTGTTTTTTTTTTTTTTTTTTTTTTTTTGTTTTTTTGTTTTTTGTTTTCGAGACAGGATTTCTCTGTGGTTTGGAGGCTGTCCTGGATCAGGCTGGTCTTGAACTAACAGAGATCCTCCTGCCTCTGCCTCCCGAGTTCTGGGACTAAAGGCGTGCACCACCACTGCCCGGCTCTTCTCCTTCTTCAAGTTAAATCGTTTTATTAGAGAAATTAGGACAATCAAACCCTGCCCTCCAGGCAGGCGGCAGCAGTCTCCAGCTCCAGTCGAGCCCTCACCAGTTAACAGCAGGACACCCAGCGCCTGACTTCTCCTTGTGTTGAGCTTTTCACCTCCCTGCTTCAAGGGAAAAACTTGCTTAGTTTCCTCCCCGGTAAGAACTCATCTGTCTGGGCACCCTCAGTTTAAACTTCAGTCCTGGAACCTAACACATCACGCGTGGGATGAGTCACTAGCGGGTCTGTCTCGGTGGCTCAACAGCGCTGTGTCGCCACCAGGGTTGTCAGCTGCAGGCTGCGGGGAACCTATTGGGAACTCAAGGTGCTTAGAACCGAAACTCCCTTTCTTAGGACGCCCAGCGTCCCTGTCCGGTGCAAGGCATTTGGGGGTCCGAGGTGGCCCCCTCCTGCCCTCTCCTGCCCGGCTGGCCTGACTCCTGGCAGGGCTCTGCCGGCCTCCGGTGCCCCGATCATGGCCTCGGCCCAGTTCTCCGGCTTC